CACTAGTGTCACTGCCTCCCTCCTGCTCCCTTCTGCCTGTAAGCCTTTCATCTTGTCCAGTTCCTCGGGACTTCTTTTTATCTACTGGATTGAGCGTTGCCCAGTTCATGAGTTGCTGATAACATCTTTAAAATGTACTAAGTTGAATTTTGTTTTTTAACAATCCAGTGAGACTGGCCAGTTTGAGAGTAAAATCCAATAGGCATTACACTCTTCTGAATCAAGCTTTGTAGTGATCATGGTCACCCTTTCCAGGATAAATCTGAATATTATTTCCCAATCCTACTCAAAAGATAAGTATGAGTTCACCAATGAAGAACAGTTTATTCGTTTACCCTTTTCCCCTAATCAATTTCAGATTCAATTGTTTTGGTTTCCAGAATAAAAACAGGAAGAAAGGTGAAGATACCCATGAGTTCAATTACACAGCAGACACAAAATGAAATATACTATTGGTTTAATTCTTCACTGGATGTAACATTTTCCAACTGTGCTTCAAGGCCACTGCTTGACTTCAGAGTATTTTTCAGGCATGAAAAAGCATGCACTGTTGTCTTTTAATTGTATGCCTCAATGTATTATGAAATTGATGGTCAAAATCCAAGTGTTTCAGAGGTATTTAGAGGCAAAAGGAATGTGCCAATGGGTGTTTTACTGCAACAGAATCTAGTAAAATTTAATTTTGTGAAATGAATGAAGACTTTAAGTATTTTTAAATGATTTTCCCAATATAGTTGTCATATTTGTGAGAAATAGTTGAGCTGGAATTAAGAGCTGGGGACCAAGGCTCTCATCCAAGATGCACAGCAAGAAAAGCACAATATATCAATATTTGAGGATTGTGCCCAGGACCTAACACAATTCTTTTAACAAATACTTACTTGAATGCGTACCACGTCCAATCTCAGACCAAAAACTAACAAAGGTAAGAGAGGCTATCCTAGGTATGATTCTACTACAAGCAAAGAAAAACCCACTTAGGAACTGTAAACCATGTTTTGT